GTTGATGGCAATACTTCACCAAGGGTCAATAACCCTTTATCAGTAAAGTAGCTAGAAGAATAATACATGTACATGATAATATAATTTGAAAGACTGAGTGTGGTGATGTGTGTTGATGGTAATACATTACTAAGGGATGATATCCCTTCATCAGTAAAGTCACCACCAAGGTGAAGTGTGGTGATGTGTGTTGATGGTAATACATTACTAAGGGATGATATCCCTTCATCAGTAAAGTCACCACCAAGGTGAAGTGTGGTGATGTGTGTTAATGGTAATGCTTGAAAAAGACACTCAACAATGTGATGAGAAGAACAATTACTCAAAAAATCACAATCAATACTTAAGAAAGTTAAAGGGCAGCCATCATTTTTTAGTGAATCAGCTATTTGCTTCTTGACTGATAGTGACACCTGATCATAGACTTCTATGTTTAATCCATTTATGCAAAAGGATTCTGTTGAGTGGTCTACAAAACCTTTACCAAACTGACTTGTAAGATCCAGGAAGTATACCAATGCTATCCAATCTGAACTATTAATTAAAGGTAGCTCATTTTGGAATAGAACTCCATTTTCAGTACTAAACTGTGTGTGATATTTTTCTATGATCTTGAGTCCAAATTCTTTGTCGCCATACTCATGTAGGCACTTTGCCAGTAACATGCCATGCTCACAACAGCAGTATGGTGAAATCATGTTTTCCATTAGCCTTTCACCATCTCCTACTCCAGACAAAAGTCCTGCACAGAACTTGAGCACCATCTCTTTGTCATCTCCTTCAAGTGTTGGTATTATGCCACTGTTCACAAAACCAAGAGCTGCAAAATACTCATGCAGTGTAAGATGCGAAAAACAAAAATATCTTGTTATTTTGGATGGACGCTCTCTAAATGCTGGGCCACATGTTAGCAGACCAAAAGACTGCAGGTTTCCTGTCTCTGGGCAAGTCAGATGGAATCTCTCAACATCTCTTTGATCAAAAATGAGTTTTCCCTCCATAAACATTGCAGCTGCCAAATCTATTAGCTTTTTCACTGTACTCTTCTCTTCAGATGCTCTGTGAATTGTTTTACAACAATCCTCAAAGATTTCCACAACTTCAGAGTAAAGTTCCGTTATCGTTGCTGGAAAGCACTTTTCTGTTCCATTTTCAATATGCCATTCAAGACAAAAGCATATCAGGTGACAAAGCACAGGAATGTGGGCAATGCTTAGCAAGTTTTCATTGTTCATGATGTGATCTCTAGCAGCAATCTTCACTTCTTCCTTCTTTGACTTGAAGTACTTCTCAATGAATTCTTCAACTTGTTCAACAGAAAACCCTGCTATTTCCACTACTGCATCCATGTGGATTCCCTCTAACTCATCAGCTGCTGTTGGTCTTGATGTAACCATGACTACAGCATTTTTAAATATCTTCTTTCTCAAGAGTTTGGATATTAAAGCAGCTACAGGCATCTGAATTCGTGGGTTGTTTTCATACTTCTGTTCAAATGAACATTCACTAATGTGGGAACACTTGGAGAATTCATCATAGCCATCTAGAATAAACAACACCTTTTCTGGATGTCCAATTATGTATTCAAACAAGTGTTCATTGATGTTTGCATGATCATCTACCACAGAACAATGATTTAAAACCTCACAGAAGTTAAACTTCTCATCACCATAGAGATTTAACTGCCTAAATGTCATTAGAAACACAAAGTCAAAATCATCTGCCACTCTTGAGGCATCTGGAATGTTACTAAATAACACATCATCAGCCCAATCTCTACAAAGCCTTTGACAGAAGAGAGACTTTCCAATGCCTGGTTTTCCAATCACAAGGATGGACTTTGGATTGGGTTTATCATGATCTGGGTTGATGAATATGTCTTGACATTTATCAATCTGATGTTTAGCACTTGTTTTGTTGTACTCTTGCAGCTGTTTCCTTCTAGTTTTAGATCTCTTCAAGGGTTTCCATTCACGTTGGATCATGAGATTGGTGAATATGTCATCTGTTCTGGTGCTTGGCACATCAGGACTGGCCAACAGTTTGGGTTGAAATTCTGTTTGCGCTTTTGTTGATGATTTTAGTCTTTTAGAATAAGACAAGACATCTAAAAATGAATACCACATGATTATAGCTATTACTAGATTAAACCAAATAAAATAAATATCAACAATCTTTCAACCTTTTTGTAAAAACTTGCTATTTTATCATGAGAAAGAAAATTGAAATGGTATCACTAACCTTCCCATGACAAGTTGGAAGACTTTGCTGTTGATTCCTTGTCTTGATATTTGATTGCTTTGAGTATCTTTTCTTGTCCTTGCTTGATCTCTTGTTGTAGATCTGTCTGACCTTGTCTGATTTCTTGTTGTAGATCTGACTGACCTTGTCTGATCTCTTGTTGTAGATCTGACTGACCTTGCTTGATCTCTTGTTGCCCTTGTTGTAGACCTTCCTGACCTTGCTTGATCTCTTGCTGCCCTTGTTGTAGACCTGACTGACCTTGCTTTATCTCTTGTTGTCCTTGTTGTAGACCTGACTGACCTTGCTTGATCTCTTGCTTGAGCTCTTCTTGTCCTTGCAAAATAGAATAGGATAATGCATATTATGACAGGAGATGCGACTCCTTCCGAACATCAATAATTGTTATAATATTTTCTTCAATGGGGATTTTGGATATTTTCAAAGATGACTTATAAGAGTAAAGAATTATATAGAGAATTAGAAGTAGAGAAATGAAAAAAAAAATGAAAATGAAAATTAAGTATATATTAAAGGCTTATTCTGAAAGATTCCCCCTCCCTCCCCACTCACTTAGTAATTACTTTAAGACTCCTGACTGTACTTACTTGCACATATTTGTTTAAGGATTTCTTCATCTTGTGATGCACAATGTTTCACCAGCGATAACAATTCATTTAATAGTTGATGATCCACATCTGAATATGAATAGTGATAAAGTCTCTTATCATGATATTATTATAATTATTGCAGTATTTATCTACAGTATTGTACACACTGTGGAACCCTACATAATGGAGTTCATGCAGCCAGACATGTACTAGTACCCAGTTGCTCCTCTTGCTTTTAAAGGGAAACTGTCAATGGATGGCATGTATAGTAACAGTCTAGCCTCTCATGGACTTTGAAAGTATTACCTTCGAGGTAAATTAATGTTTTGACACACTTTGGAATATTCTAGATCTGCCGTTACGTTTACAAGTACTTTTTCTGTCATGCATCACACCAACTTGGAGTCGTAAACTTGAAAACATTAGCCTAATCTTCAAGTTTACTTGAGCATGCGTGCCATTGACAGTGTCCCTTTAATAAACAGCATGATTGATTGATGTAGGCATACAATTATGTTTACTAAACTAGACACAGAATAACTGCCAGTAAGAGGTAAAATAGGCCAGTAGCTGTCTGTTATTGAAACCCCTGCATATTTATCTCTATTTGTTTAACAGGTCTAGTGTCTACACTACTAAGGGATGTTGAAAATTTGTCATTTAAGCACTGAAAAAAGAAATACAAATTATATAATACCTTTTTTGACTTTTTTAAAGTCTTTTGATTTAGCACCAACTTGTGCCAATGCATTACCAACATCACTTTTAAGATTACAAAACTCTGAGTTTTCAATCTTTCCATTTGGTGAGTGGCAAAGTTTGTTTCTTGTTTCTTTCAAACATTTCAATCCAGCAACTAAACCTTTCTTGGTAGTAGGCACAAATGGAGGTCTGGAATTCAACAGAGCTTTGACAAAAAGAGACAAATCCCATGTTGTTGTGTCACCTGACTGGACCTTGGGTTTTTCATAATTTAGTGGTGTGAACTTTGTCAACAAGTCTGTACCATTCTGAATGCAATCTGTCCAAGGAACAAATCCTCCAACAGAATTCCATTTATTTATGAAGAAATCTCGTAACTTGGGAAGGCCTACCCTTGAAAGGAGCAGTATCAAGAAGCAGTAATTCCTGAAAAGCAAATGCAATAACTTTCTTAAAAAATATAAATATATAAAAATACATTTTC